TGCACTTGCCAGGTTGTTTTACATGATTTATAACATCAGCTAATTTAATCCTTACTAAAGGTACTAATATAATCCTTATTTTAGCATGAGAAGCTGAGACACCGAGGGAAAGAAAGGTCATTCGACGAGTATGAGACAAAGAACATTTAACATTGGATAGTACAGGATCTGAGCCCATACTTTTACTACCTACTGCTGGTACAAATACACACACACACACACACACACACACACACACACACACAAACACACACACGCACACAACAGCTTATCCAATAACTTATAGAAGATGAATCAGAATTCTTTTCATTTTTCCAAGATGAAAGGGAGAACAATGATAAAAGTTCTTGGAAACTGCCTATTGTCCTAGGACTTTGCCTGTTATCTAATTTATATTGTATTGCTTATTTCCTTTTTAACATATATCTAGACTGTTATGGCTTTCTTGTTTGTTTACTGATCATCCTTCTTACTAGACTGTCAGTTCCATTGTATTTCTTGTGTGTTAAATATATATCTGGAGCTTAAGAAATGAATGAATGAAAGGTCTCCCTTTTTAGTACACTAAGGAAGGACTAATGGAACCTCAGTCATCTTCATGACATCCAAAGTAAATATATTCAATCTGTTTTCAACTAGCCCGTCATAAGTGATGATAATTATATGTGTGCCTTTCTAGGTCTATGCTTTGGTGGGTACAACTACTGTTTGTACATTTGTGTTTGTGCAAATGTAAATGCATTACTGAGTGCACACACCTCTAGTTCCACAAATATATGTTTGCTCAAAACCCATGGCCATTATGTGTACTTGGGTGATGTCATTGGTCTATCGTATATATGATGACATTCACAAAAGTGCTCTATGATTCATATGTCTATGCATTGCATGTGATTGTAAATATCTCTATGAACGTGTGCGTATGTATGTGAACTCTAGAGGCATATGCAGTTATGCACAACAATGTAGTTTTATGTCAATAATTGTGTAAACGTGTGGTTGTGTATAGTTGTGTGATAGTTTGAGGATCTATTTGCAAGATCAGGGAACCTTTTTTTTTTTTTTTCTATAGACCACAGATTAGTTTATTTTTAACACCCATTATGCCATGAATTCATAGGGAATAGGTTCCAGCAGCTCAGACTCCTTTCTATTGGTTCTCACAAAGTGTGCTTCTCTGGGTGGAGCAGGCTGGTGCTTTAGTTGAAGCCAGGTATCTTTCTCTTTGGTTTCTTTCTTTTTCTGGTCATTTTCCTTCACATGTTTTAGGAAGCTATCTCTGCTCTTAGAATGTTTAATATGCTCAATATGCACATTGATTCTCTTGACAAGAATCTTGCCCTTAACTTGTTTGTTCACAACAATGCCAACAGCATGCTGGGTAACATTGTAGACTCTTCCAGTTTTGCCATGGTAACATTTGTGGGGCATTCCTTTTTGAACAGTACCCATTCCCTTAATGTTCTTGTAGATTTGCATATATGTCACCAGAGGAACAACTCCATGTTTTCTAAAAGGCCTAGAGAACATATATCGGGTGCCTCTCCTCTTTTCCTTTGTGTTCGTCATTTTGGTTAATTACTTTGTGTTCGTCATTTGGTTAATTCTATTCATGGCAGTTCCGGCCAAAAGGAAGCAAGATCAGGGAACCTTTACAGTCAAATAATAAGTGTTGGAGAGGAGGGAGAAAAGATAAAACTGATACGTTGCTGATTGGAATGTAAAGCTGTGTGGCCTCTTTGGAAAATAGTCTGGCAACTCATTAAACGATCAAAAATAAGAATACCATGTGACTTACAAATCTACTTCTAGAATACCCAAGAGAAAATGAAAATATACATCTACACAAACATTTGTACACAATTGTTTTCAGCAGCATTATTCATTATTATCCAAAAGCAGAAATAACCAAAATATCCACTACCTGATGAATCCATAAACAAAATATGGTATACTCATACGATAAAATATTATTTAGCCATAAAAGGAATGAATTATTGGTAGATGTGAGAACATGAGTAAATCTTGAAAGCATTAATACTAAGTAAAAGAAGCCAAACACAAAAGACAATATAGTATTCCCTTTATAGGAAAAAGTCCAGAATAGGTAAATCTATAGAGATAGAAAGTATTAGGTTGGAAAAGTCATGACATATTTTTCTATGCAAAAAAAAAAAATGCATCATGACTTTCCCAATGCCTCAATGTATTAGTGGTTTCCTGGAGCAGTGGAGATAGGGAAATATGGAGTCATACCTAAAAAGTACAGAGCTTCTTTTTGAAGTGATAAAATGTTCTACAATCATGTTGGTAATGGCTTCAGATATTTGTAAATATACAAAAAATCACTGACTTTTACACTTCAAATGGGTGAATTTTATGGTAAGTAAATTATAGCTCAACGAAACTCTTAAAAAAAGATAAACCTCATCCCACAGTCACTCACCTGAGGTACTCTAACACTGCATAAGGAGTTTCGAGCTGGGACCAGCAGATCACATAATGGCTATGTCACTGGACTCCCACATGGCCGAGCAAGGTTTGAGTCTCAGACTCGGAGGCTTGAAACTCAAGTGGGTGTGTGTGTGTGTATATGCCCAAAATCCCAAGAGGAGAATGGAGGAGAAGAGATTGAGGCATGGCTATACTCCCTGGGGAGGGGTGATTTCTCACTTTCTATCTCTGTCTATATCTGTGTGGTGAGCACATGTGGCCTATACTAAACTCTTTCTCTGAAAAAAGAAGTTCTGAGCTTTTCAATCAAATATTGTCCGCAGGTTTGCTCAAATAGACATGAAAAGAAATCGCCTTTGGCTTTGGTTGCTTTGTTTCCTTATGATGGGGCGAAGTAAACCCTACTGAACTTAGGAGAGGTGCCAAGGGAGATCTTTGTTATGTGAACAACTAATCTTATGTTTGTGGAGACTGTTGGACCACTGACTAAGCAAGATGAACTTCACTTAACACCTCTGACTTTCCAATGTGATGTTTGAGTAAAACACACTTCTATTCATAAACATCATTTATCATTTAGAGAGAGGACAGTGTCAGCCATCCCTCCATTACAACAGGCTCTGTCTGTTTCCTTCTCTGAGACTTCATCTGGGAGTGGGTTCCTTTACTATTTGAAACACTGATCCTGGCCTGAATGCAAATTTGTGGGCTTGTGGTGGAGTTTTCTACTACAGAATGTGAATAAAGTCCAGATCTTCAGTTTTGAGGTGTCCAGAGATAATGAGAAGGAGGAGAAAGGAGGAGAGAAGGGTAGATAATGGAAGACTCTGAGAATGTGTTGAGAGTAAAACTGAGACAGACACACATGGAAGAAATATAGATCCCAAAAGACAGAGGGAAGAAGGAGGGAGAAAAGAGGAAGATAAGACCATCTGGAGAAACTCTTACTCATAAGGAGAAAAACAATCTGATAAAAACTGGGCAAAAGACACCACAAAAGAAGATAAACTGAGTGGCTAATATGTACATGAAAAGATGCCCAACACTGATAGTTATCAGGGAAATACAAGTTAAAACCACCATGAGAAACCACTACACACTATGAAGATGGCTTGAATAAAATGAACCAACTAGAGCAAGTGTTGGTGAGAATGTAGAGCCACCAGAATTCTTAAACGTATGATGGATGCAAAATGGTACAACCATGTTGGAAAACACGTCAGCCATTTCTTATAAAGTTAAACGTACACTTATAACTTTATTCATAATCTTACTCACAAGTATTTACCTAAGAGAAATGAAAATATGTGTCCACACAAGGACTTGTCCATGAATATCCATAGCAACTTTATTGATTGTAGCCCCATGCAACAAACAACCCAAATGCCAATAACTGGTGAATCCATAGTGGATATATGGGAATGAGGGTGGGGTGGGAGTAGGCATTTCTTTAAAATCTAAGCAAATTTTAGTAGAATCACAGTAGAATCTTCCTTAGCAATACATGCAACAATATGAATGACACTCAACTTCATACTAAAGGAAAGATTACATGAATAATTATATACTACATGATGCTGCTTATATGAAATTCTAAAAGAAAAACAAGAAAATTCAGAATGATAGTGGTAGAAAACAGAATAAGAGTTGATGGGAGCCAAGGGTGGGGAGAGAGGATTGACTGCAAAGGGATACTTTCTGAAGTGATGTAAATGTTCCCTATTTTGATTTTGG